CACGGGTGTCCTATCACGTATGTAATCCCATGTTATTGGGCATCATCTTTATTTCCAGTTTTTGCTACTGTAAATACAGCTACAGTGAACATTTTGTGGCTAAATCTTTGGCTGAATTATAGCTTCCTTAGGATGACCTTCTAGAAGAGAAACTATTTCAGAGATTAATCCAAGAAGACAAGATTGCTTCTGTTGTGATTAGAGTTAGGTTATAGGATGTATAGGCATTTCCATCTATCCAGGCGTGACTCTGTACGGAGGCTATACGCGTCTTGGGATATCATTAGCTGGAGCAAGTGGCTCCAAGGGTCGGTAAACGCTGCGAGACATTTGTAAGAGCCTGTCTAGCACACGTTACTCGCTTCAATATTTGCTGTTGCAGAGACAATAGGACTAACTTCCTGAAACTTTGGAAAAGGCAGGAGAAATGTCTTTCTGACGAGGCTCTTCCTCGAGCATCCGCATGATAGCCATCATGGCCACACGCACAGTTAGCTGGGTAGTTGGAATCATCGCATCCGAACATCTTCTATTCTTTTAAAAGTTAACGTTATCTCACAGGCAGTTTTCCTACTGTTACCCAAGCCTTCAAGCCCTCACTCTAGAGAGATGTACCTATTCCGTAATGAACAAACTCTTCTTCACTCTTCCATTCCCTTCACGTTGAGCACGGGGCTGCTTCCAAAATTTTGCTATCATGTGAGCCATTCCCTGAAGTGTTTCTCCTCACGAATAACACACAGTGTGTCTTCTTTCTCTGTGGCTACCGAGAAGCTTAGACTCCAATTTCTGATTTCAGTGTAGCGATGTATAGCCTGCTGCTTCAGGCTCTATTTTTACAGAGGTGTATACATTTTACTCCATCTTCTCATCTCTCTGGTCCTGATGTTTTATTACCTATTTATATTTTATTATGTTTCCTATTGGCCTCCTCAGAGCCTTGTGGAATGAGGAAGGTTGCAAATCATTAATAAAAAATTTAATGAAATGCTAAGTGACCATCTATAGGCATATGGCTTTTCCTTTCTCTAGGAATTGCTAACTAGTATACTTAGCATAATTTCTGAGAACGACATGACCAGATCCAATAGCCAGAATATCATTAGGGTCCTTAATGTACACTACCCAGAGCTTTCCAAAGGTGAAAAAGAGAACGTGGTAGAAACATGATATAGGTAACAAAACTGAAGGCTCAATTACCCCTCCAAACACAGCTGAAATGGCCAGGTGGTGCTGAGTGCCGAAGATGGCTGGGAGCCTGGGGGCATCACCTATCGTCTACTCCTTAACTCTTTGGTTCGGCACAAGTGCTTCCACACTATCCCGTAGGACATGGAGTAGATGCTTGGTACAACCTTGTTGATGGAAGGGAAAAGAAAGGCTGGGAAGAAAGAAGAGAGAAGTAGCCGCCATCTTTGACCCTCCGTAGCTCCTTGCTTTGCTGGAAGGCTGGCCTCCTCTTTGGAAACCATAGCCTGTGGTCCATGAGGGACATGCCAGCATCACTGTCCTTTCTTGGGACTTGGACGGGGAAAGTGACTACCCATTTCCTCTAGACAGGACATCCTGGAATGTGTCCTAAATTGGACATTTCTTATTTTAAAAGATTTTGACTATAAAAGATCACAGAAACACAACTATATGCTCATTATGGCCTGTGAGGAATAGACCTTAGTAACACAGCGTGGGGAGGCTGGTTTTCCTCATCTGTGACAAAGGACATGAACACTTCCTCCAGCCTCCTGCTGGATCCTGTGCTCCCATCCAAAAGACTGAACCCTGATTGTCCATTCACCCTTTGTCTCTCCAGCTGATACAGACTCAATCTGGGGTATAGACTGCATCCTCAGGGCCTATGAGTGTGCGGCACTCTAGGCGCTCCAAGAGAGTTAAGGGAACAAATAACTGAATAGATGGATGGATGTTCTATCCTTCCTACTGAAAGGTAAACCCTTAAGGCAGGGGAGAGTCTTATCGATCTGTAACTTCCCAGTAGAGTTTGTGACATGGTATAGGCCTTTGATGAATGTTTATTAGATGAAAAAAACATGGATGGATGGTTGGGTGGATGGATGGACAGATGCATGGATGCATAGATGGATGCATGGATGGATAGATAGATGGATGAATGGCTAAATGGCTGGCTGGATGGATGAATTGATAAGTTAATGGATGGATGAATAAACTGATGAATGGATGGACGGGTAAATGGATGGATATACCATACTTTAGAGTTTGGGAGAGGGCTCCTATGTTAGATGGGGTTGTACTAAACGACTTAGGCTCCTCTCACTGACCACATTACCCTGTCCTACAGTCTTGTTTCCTGATGAATTTTTCCCACTGAACAAGGCGCTCCTTGAGGGCAAAGACCAGACCCAAGATCGTGTGTGCCAAGGCCTGACATCCAGCTCAGTCTTTCTTTGGGAATTAAGTAGATTTCCAAGCGCAGCCTATTTTGACTTCTTTAGAGCATCTAGATGGTCTGTAACCAGAATCCTATAAACCTGTTTTGAAGGTCATGCAGGGCAGGCAATTAGTGACTAAGACCTCACCTGCACACAAGAAAGTCAGAATTTTCATCCTTTCTGGTTTGAAAGTACCTGAGCTTCATTATATATTTCATCATATTAACATTTTTTTAAAGTTCTATTCATCTAGTTTTATCTCCAAAGCAGAAGATGCTTTCTAGCTTTAACTGCTGGACCTACAGCTCGAGCGAGGTGTTCAGCAGCCTGCACCGATGCTCCAGTCATGCCTGGGAATACGTGGAAAATGTGGAGCCCCTGTGACCTGCAAGGTGGCTGAAGACTCCATCATGACCAACAACAACATGAGATTTTCCGTTCTTGAGAACCCAGTGTCACCCTGATTTTTGTAATCTTAACAGGGGACATTTCTGACATTGACATTCCCATCAAATTTTGTGACTCTGTGCACGCACATCACTCTCATCAGGGCCCGAGTATCTGAAGGTAGAATGGGTCCTTCCAGATAACCTAGCTCTCCATTTTACAGATGGGGAAACTGAGGCCCAGAAAAGGGAGAGGACTGACCCAAGCTCACAGAGCTGCTGAGGGACAATGACAAGAACTGAATTGAGCCTCTCCTTTGACCCACTGGCAATCCCCAAATTTGGCCTTCTGATGAGGGCTGAGGGAAGACACAGGCTGTCAGTGTGAATGACAGGCATTCATGCGTGTTAACACACTCATCTCAAGCAATTTTTGGTACTCAGGCTAGGTGTTTGTTCCCCAACCCTAAGATGGAGAGTCTTCCCAAAATGAGCATGTCTGTGTCCAATCAGAAAGCAACTGAGCACTCCAATTCTGCTATTTACTGTTTTCTGGGCAGGAAAAAACACAAAGTCTGGGACTCTTGTGTTTTGAAGCCAGCTGGGGAAATATTTGGAGGCCAGCACCAAGGGAAAAGAAGAAAATTCCTGGAGGCCGGCCCGGTGGCGCAGCGGTTAAGTGCACGCGTTCTGCTTTGGCGGCCCGGGGTTCACTGGTTCGGATCCCGGGTGCGGACATGGCACCGCTTGGCAAGCCATGCTGTGGCAGGCGTCCCACAAATAAAGTAGAGGAAGATGGGTATGGATGTTAGCTCAGGGCCAGTCTTCCTCAGCAAAAAGAGGACGATTGGCAGCAGTTAGCTCAGGGCTAATCTTCCTCAAAATAAAAAAAATGGAAGAAAATTCCTCCCTGGGAATTCTTATTCTTTAAGTCCCTGGAAAGCGTAGCAGGTCCTCTCCTGAATGGCTACCAACTCCATTTTTGGTGCCGAAATTCAAATCCCACTTCTTTCCTTTGGTGGTTAGACGTGGCCTTAGGAGAATGGTGACTGTTTGGGGTGAAGACAGAACACAAAGGAACACACCGCCCTTGTTTCTCCTATCACCTCTGCAGGCAGAACCCACAAAGCATCTTAGCAAGCATGGCTTGATGATTTAATTTTTTGCAAAGCCTTCTTGCAAAGATTCTCAGGCTGCCTAGCTTGGACCTGGTTCACGGTTGATGGTGGATGAGTTTGCAGAAATCGGCTCAAGTGCAATGTTCTTTGTGACTTTAGGATCAGGAAACATAAGATAAGAGTGGTCAAGAGCCCAGTGGGTCTTTGGCCCTTTTTCTCTCAGGGATGGGCTCTGACTCGCACTTACAAGGAGGAAGCCAAAGGTTCCTTTGTGCCAGAGTGGCTGAAACCCAGCAGAACACTGCCTTCCTCCATCTCTGTCTTGTCTGCTGCTCCTGGCCCGGCACTGGGAAAAGCCAAGCTAAAGGCTATTTCCTCCTGAAAGACCTTGCTTCCTTCTCTGGATCTATGAGATTAGCCCCAAAGAACGTTTCCTCAAATCTGTTGACATCTAACACAAGGGAAGGAGAGGTGGCCATCCTGTGTGATTTTGTTACAACTCACGATGGTCAGAGAGTCTCCCTGGTCCAAGGACCTCACTTCACGGATGGGCAACCCAAGAGGACTTGCCCAAGGGCACAGAGCCCTTCAGACGCGGTGGTTCTGATCCCTCGGTGCCTCACCCAACGACTCTCACGGGGTATTCAGGAAATGTTAGCTGAATTAAACTACACTCGAGTCTTGCCGTTACCAGACAAGTACTTTTACTTCTAAATCACTTATTCTCAAACTTGGCTGTATATAAGAATCACCTGCATCACTTTGAAAAATACTGATGCCCGGATCCCACCTCCAAAGATTCTGAAAGAGCTGGGACGGGGTGAGGCCTGGGCCCTGGGATTTTTAAAAGCTCCCAGGTGAGTCCAATCTGCAACCAGGACTGAGAACCCCTGTTCTAAATCACACTGCTTCCCAGGAGTAAATGAAGAGAATGACCGGTCTCTCGTGCCCTTATTTCCTGCCTTCTCAGATACGGGCGCAAGGGTTTGGGTCAGGTGGAAAATGGAGAAAGACCTTCAATTCACCCTTGGAAATAAGCTGTCCATCCCCCACCCTTAAGAGACACAGCAAAGGACAAGGTTTGGAGATCAAGTTAAATGTCCAATTTATTTTTATAACTTGAAACCAGAACAAACTTGGTTTTGAACAAGCGTACAAATGAAATGGCAGACACATGCTGAACTCAACATTGTGACATTAAGGGAAAAAAGAGGCCCAAAAATCTTGTACAGAGAATAAAAGGAACAATAAATATTTTACTAAGCCATATTGAAATGACCTCCTGTCATCTCAACATTTTATCCATAATAAAAAAAAAAGTGCCTGTTTTTTAAACAGAGCACAAATACCAAGCAATAATAAATAGTTCCAAACTTGTAGTAAAAGACAGAACTTCCAAGTAAACAACAAAAGCTCATACAATAAGTAATAGAAAAGGTAATAAAAATATTTCTCCTTGCCAGTACAAATGCAAACAACTGGAATCCATGTAACTTTGCTTTGCAGGGCTAAGATACAAAGAGCACCAAAGTCTCGGGTTTGCCTGTGTTCAACGAAACCTTCGACTGACTGTCACTGAGGGCTGGGATGAAAGGCTGACTTCCTTTTCACATTTTGCTTAGAGTAATTCAGCCTCCTCCTCTCCCCGTGAAAGACCCTCTAATGGCAAGTGGCAGGTTCCAATTTGGGGCAACTTTGAACAAAGTTGTGGCAGTGTGGAACCCGGCCTGAGGTCGGCTGGGTCACCCATGTGCGGGGGCCTCTCTCACTGGGTCATCTGCTTCAGTGTTGGCTTTTTAAACATGAAAGAGAAGCAAAATTCTCTTTTCTCTGCAGTCGACAGAGACACAATCTTTGTGCTTTAGGATGGCTTAGTCCTGGCGTTCTGGTGACTTTGTGGAAGCTGGTGAGAGCTGGCTCACTGTCGTAACCACAGGAGGACCACCTCGACAGCTCTCGAGTGCCTTAACAGGGCAGCCCAGGTCGAGCGGGTGGAAAACTATCTCAGCTTAATCTCTCACTCCCTCCCTCTTTCTTTTCACTTTGCAAAGACAAGTGGCAAGGAGGAAAGAGCGTGTTAAACAAAAAAGCTCCCAGAAGAAAGATTTCTGCATTTGGTAAAGAATTGCCCAAAAGGATGCTCGGTTATACTTTCATAACCTTAAATAATGGTATCTTATAGTTCCTGAAATAAAAAATGGCTTCCTGATATAGGTATTTTTTAAAAAAATGTATTATTCCCTCATCCAAAAAACCACCACTTTATTATCTTAAAGCTACTTGGCTTTACAAAAAAAAAAAAAAAAAAGAAGAGCGGAGGGAGAAAGAGGGAGAAAGAAGTAAAAATGAAAACAAATAAAGAACCGACAGAAGCTGGAGGACAGAAAGGAGACGCAGAGGAAGGAGAGAGAGAGATGAAAAGGCACCGAATCCATCCCAGGGCCTAGGCATTCGGAAACTGACGGAATGTAGGTTTCGGAGAGAAAAGCAGCAAAGCAGGTAAGAAAGACAAGAGGCCAACACTCTCCATGGAATGAAAGGTTGTGGTTGTGATGGGAACTCCTTCCTGAAATGCGATTTGTGCCGGTCTCAGGAGCAGATCGCGTCACCTGTGCCTAGCTGATACGCCAGCTCCTTTTATTACATTTTTTGTTTAATGTTTTCTCAAGGACTAAAGAAAGCTCGGTTTGCATTTCTCTCTGCTCTTAAGGGTGGGAGCGGTGGCAGTGTTGACCGCCACAGTGGCGACAGCAGAGGAGGAAGATGCTCTCTGGCTCTCTCTCCTCTACACCTGACATCTTACAGATGGCCTCTTAGAGACAGGGAGGACTCTGTGAAACGTTACTGACATCTTTACAAAAACAGATTCTTCCACTCAACACGAATAAAAGAATTTCCCATCTGGTCTGCTGGGGCCATACCAGGGAGCCTTGATGCAAGGTTCGGGGCATTCCAAGCGAAGCCCTCCTCCGACGGTCCTTTGTAGAGGCCAATTCCGACAAAAATATATACAACTAAAATGATTTGTGAACCAAAGCATTTAACTACTTCCTTTTGTTTCTTTTCCTCAAAGGTTGTCAAACAACCTTTTTTTCTCCTGTACAATAGGACTTAACATACAAATTTTTTTTTTGCAATATTTTATCCTGCCAAATTAAAAAAATATATTATGGCAGCCTGTTTGTTTTTGTTTTTTTTTTCTTTTTATTTCCAAATTCACTAACAAAAAGGTACATTAAATCCCTTTAAAAGGACAAGCTTACAGTTAAAAAATTACAAGCTCCAGTAAAAATACAGCAAGTGCCTACATCATATGAACCAACCAATATATCCATTCCAGAGGGAGGTGGGAAGAGAAAAATAAGTACAGGTCAGAAATGTGATTTTTTTTTTCTGCAAAGCAATAACAATATTAAGCACTTTTTTTCTACATACTTTTTCTACATGGTGTAGCAATCCCCTTTGAATCCCCAAATACAAGTTTCTATACATTTTTTTTTGAAATAAAAATTCAACACCCAAGGCAGAAAAAAATTTACTAAAACTCCGACTTTACAGTTACTGTGACAAGAACAAATTTATAGACCCACCATTTAAATTTTACTGCAACATTTTCAAAAAGAAAAGGTTTTTTTTTCTTGTTTTGTAAAATGCCCAGGCATTCTCGATTATTACAAATACTGGTCCACTTTTACAGTAATCAAGAAATTTTAATATATATAATATATACTAAAACCCCATCACCAAAAGAAAACAATATACACGCAGCCACTGTGGCATTTTTTTTATAACCTATTAAGCAAACTTTGAAAAAAAAATGATCGCTCCAACACACATACACACAATTTTTTTTAACCCTTGTATGTATCCAATACTGTAAACGTATTTTTAAGACAGAGTGCACTAAATTTAATTTTAGAAAAAATTAGCCGTTGTTCCTGAATTGTTTTGTTTTTCATTCAACAATATCAACTTGTAACTTGTGTCACTTGAGTTTAATTCAGCAGTAAATCGCCTCCACTCCATATCTAAGCAGCGTTGTCCCAGACAAAAGGGGCTGAGGATAATTCAGCTAATGGATGTCCACGGTTGTGCTGGGTTTATTTCTTCATTTGATTGGGTCTTATGGCATTTTCATGTCCTCTATCTTCAACCAGAATTTTTTAAAATTTATTTAAAGTAAATGTGGCTTTGTTTGTTGCTAAAGAATGTACTTTTCTTGTTTTACTTTTTAAAAAAGTCTTTTCGTGTCAAAAAAAAAAAAAAAGTTTTGCATTTGTCTCAAGAGACTCAAATAGGAAGATCAGTTTTCAAGGCACTCACATCAAATTGAATGGCAGTAGAAAAACTGTCCAATAAATTATTATTTTCTTTTGCTCTTTATAGTGCCAGTATTGTGAATGCCACGCTTAGCAACACTGACACTCAATCTCAGCCGTCCCTTACAGTTTAACCCACCTCTGGGCCAAAGAGAAGAATATGCTGCAATTTCTTGTTTAGAAGCCATTTAATTTAAATGCAAACAAAAGCTTTAAAGTGCGGGTCAACAGAATTCAAATGTCTAATCTTAACAGTCCAATGTTTAGTACCTTCCAACCTAATGGGATAGAAAAAAAATTGGGAAGTAGCTCTGGGCACCCTCAGATGGAACTCGTCCCCCCTGCTTTTCCAGTAAAAGGGAACAGAAATTTGCAAGATTCCCACCCCCTCCCCCACCCCCGCCCCGGTCCGTACAATGTCATCAGTGTGCATTAAAGGAGAGACCACTCACTTCCCTTGATTCTCCATCAGGGCACTTGCCTGCTTGAGACATGATCAGCTATCATACGTATCACTTGTAGCAACATATGACTGGGGATTTCTGTGGTGGGGGTGATGAAGAGAGAGAGAGAAGCTGCCAAGCCAGAAGAAGCCTAAAGAACCCCGCTGGTTTCTTCCTTTCTGTGTCACTGCAGGCCATCACCATCTACCCCCAAAAAAGTACCCTCAGCCCACTGTATTTAGCCTCATCTACAGCAAATCACAAAGATGGCATCCCAGGGCACAGCAACATTCCAAGAAAAGGACAGTACCTGCTAGGAATGCACAATTTTAGAATGCTCTCGGGCCATGTCCAGGGGCAGCCCTCAAAAACTCCTGTTTCTCTGGCAGTGCTGAGTTTTTGGGGGGCCTCTCCCCCACCACTGAGAGTTTCCTCATATAATGTAAAGGTTGAAGTCAACACAGAAAAGGCCTCCGTTACTCAGGATATGGTCAGTGCTACACCTCCATTCCAATTCTGAAACAAAGTGCTACAACTTTAAAGATTGTTATCCGCTGTACACCCACCCTTACCCCCCAAAAAAAACCATGCATGCCACTTTTTATTTCAGGACCAAACAAAAAAGAAGGAATAAAAAAGTAAACAACTTTAAAAGTCATTTAAGTGTTGGCTTCTTCACAAGAAATTACACATGCTTAGCTTAAATTTCAAAAAAGCAGCGCCCTCCCCCCCAAATTATAATTTAAAAGATAGGCTTCCCTCTACATTGCTCGGGAGTCATTGCTCAGGCTACTACTGGGTTTAAAAAAAAAAAAAAAAACTGAAGAAGGGATGGATACCCAACAAAATCTTTTAAAGGAATTTAAACAGAAAGAATAATAATAAAAAGTACCTGCACATGCCAAAAAAATTACAAAACCCAATAAATACAGAAATTATTGCACAGTTAAAAGGCTCCACAATTTTTACTGCCTTAATCAACCCTCGGGTTTCCATAGGACTTCGCAGACACAGGTTAGGTTGGAGTGCTGCCTCCCCTGGGCCCCGGGGACACGCGGGGTGCTAAGTGGCGGTGACACGGAGGCAAGCGTCAGGTCAGCATTCTCTCGGTTGGCAACGGTTCCACTGTACAGGTGCGGGGTGCCTGGGCCCGCGCGCGCACGCACGCGGGCGCGCGCTTAGCTCCGCTCAGCCTGCTCGATTTTGACGTCGTTAGTCAGCAAGTGCTCGCCGTGCCACTTTTTCATGTGTTTCTCCAGGGTGCTGTAGACGCTGAAGGGCATCTGGCAGATGTCGCAGCGGTACACCTCCTTGCCGATCTGCCCGTGCGTCTTCATGTGGCGCGTGAGCTTGCTGCTCTGCGCGCACGCGTAGTTGCACAGCTCGCACTTGTAAGGCCGCTCGCCGGTGTGGCTCCGCCGGTGCACCGTCAGGTTGCTGCAGTTCTTGAACACCTTGCCGCAGTACTCGCACGTGTCGCTGCGGCGGCCCTCCTTGGAGCTCGGCCGCCCGGGGCCCGGGCCGCCCAGGTGCGGCGTGCTGCCACCACTGGCCGTGCCGCTGCGCCCCGACAGGCCGCCGTCCAGCAGGTCCCCGGGCGGCGTGGAGAAGCGCAGGCTGCCGTTCTCGGACGAGTGCTCGGACGACGTGGCGAAGGGCGACTGGCGCGCGTCCGTGAAGCCCAGGAAGGGGTCCTTCATGAAGTGCCGCGACGCCGCGTAGCCCACGAGCCACTGCGAGTACACGTTCTCGGACGGGATGAGCGCGGCGGGCGGCAGCTCCAGGTCCTTCTCCACCTTGATGCGCTTGGCCGCGCTGTTGAGCCCGGGGCTGGGCAGCGGCGCCGGCTTGCGCGGGAAGAGGCCCGGGAAGGGCTCGGCGCCCGGCGCGAAGCCCCCGCCGCGCCCGTTGACCGCGCCCCCCGGGCCCGCGTCCCCGCAGCCGCCCGCGTCGTCGTCGTCGCCCGCGTCGCCGCCGCCCGCCGCGCGCTTCAGGAAGGCGCCGCGCTTCTGCTTGTCGGCCAGCAGCTCGCCGTACTGCGGCAGCGCGCCCAGGCCCACGTTCTCCATCACCTTGCCCAGCACCAGCGCCTTCTCGTCGGCCAGCGCCTTGGCCGCGCCGCCCACGCCGCCCGCGCCCGGGACCCCGGGCACCCCGCCGCCGCCGTTCTCGCGGTTGCGGCTGAGCTCCGAGTCCATGCTGAAGCTCGACTCGGGCCGGCTCTCGTTCTCCAGCAGCAGCTCCTCTTCCTCCTCCTCCTCCTCCTCGTCCTCCTCCTCGGGCTCGTGGCCCAGCGACGGGTCGCTCTCGTGGTGGCGGAAGTCGCCGTCGGCCGCCTTGAGGCCCTCGCCGGCCAGCTCGCTGGTGCCGGGCTCCGGGGAGCTGGCGGCCGAGAGGCCGTCGTCCGAGCGGCCGGCCAGCGAGCCGGCCTTGTGCATGTGCGTCTTCATGTGGCGCTTGAGCTTGCTCGCCTGCGAGCACGCGTGGTCGCACAGCTGGCACTTGTAGGGCTTCTCGCCCGTGTGGCTGCGCCGGTGCACGATGAGATTGCTCTGGAACTTGAAGGTCTTGCCGCAGAACTCGCACGACTTGCTCTTGGCGGGCGGCTGCGGCGGCGGCGTGCCGCCGGGGGGCATGGGCGGCAGCGGCGGCGTGCTCAGGAACGGGGACTTGGGGCTGGGCTGGAAGGGGTTCAGGAGCCGGTGCATAGGGTTCCCGCGGCCCGGCGACACGGGCGGCGGCGTGGAGCTGTTGCCCGCCAGCTCGCGGAGCCGCCGCGAGAAGTCCATGGCGGGTGAGTCGATGGCCATGGGGTTCAGGCGCATGACTCGGTCAAAGGCACTGGGGTGCTGGGCGACGAGCCCCATCTCCTCGGCACTGAGGCGGTGCGGGTCCAGGTGGTGGCGCGGCGGCGGGCTGAAGAGGGGCGGCGTGCCGGGCAGGCGGCCCTCGCCGAAGCCCGGGTGGTCCCGCAGGATGGGGCCCGTCATGCGCAGCAGGTTGAAGGGGTTGCTGTCGCCCAGGAAATTCATGAGCGGGGACTGGGCCACGGCCTCGGGCCCGAGCGGCGGCGGGATGGTGAGCCGCGGCGTGAGCGAGCTGCTGGCCGGCCCGGGCTCCAGGTAGATGCGGAAGCCGTGCGTGTTCTGCGCGTGCTGCAGCAGGAACCACGCGCTGTTGAAGGGCTGCTTGCATGTTGTGCAAATGTAGCTGGAAGGCTCATCTTTACCTGGGGAGACACACGGACAGAAAGGCAGAGAGAGCGTGAGAAGCGGACGGGGCGCACGCACCGCGGGGCCACTGACCTGGAGGCGGGCGGGCCGGGAGCGCATCCCAGGATCCAGGGTTCTGAAAGGCGGCTGCGGGGCCACTTCCGAGCAGGCCCACGCCTGCGACGCGGCGGACCCTCCGGCAGCGACTCCACGGGGCTGGAGGGCCGAAGAAGCCAGCTCTGTGGGCAGGCGGCCCCAGCAACGCCCAGATCAGCCACACGCCCTCAGCACGTTGCTCCAACTCCGGAGGCCTCGGTTTGCTCCCCTAAAGAAAAGGGGTTCCTATCCCCGTTATATTAGAGGCCAAATGCGATCGCGTTTGTGAGAATGCCTGACTCCAATAATAGGACAGCTGGGACACCCGCAACCCTCTAAACCAAGGTGTGTCAACCAAGGCACCACTGACAGTTAGACCCAGATAATTCTTGGGGGTGGGGGTGGCGCCCTGTGCACCATAGGATGTTCAGCAGCATTTCTGGCCCCTACCCACTAGAAGCTAGCGTCACTCCCTCCCAGTCCTGAGGACCAAAAATCTCTCAGGCGTTGCCAGATGTCCTGTCCCAGTCCCCTCCTCCCCCCCCCCCCCCCCGCCCCCACTCCGCCCCGGCCGGATGACGACGACGGCACACGACTGCCCCTCCCCCTCCCCTTGAGAACCACTAATGGGCAACATTTGATCCAAGGAAGTTCTAAAAAACACAAGTCAAACCGAATCGCCTAGCATACTTTTTTTTTTTTTAAGAGAAATGGCTGATACCTCAGCATCATTTGGGATTTTGGTTATAGGAAATTCTAGGGTTTCATACACCAGCATCTGTGCAGAAAGGACTGTCAAATTTGAACATGGATATGTAGGAGCAGAGGGCATTTAGCATGTTACGAAGATGACTACTGTGTGAGAGCTGCCCCGCTCCGGGCCCCCATGGCCGCACACACACACCCCTAACCATGTGTGGAATATGGGGAGACCCCGGGGGAGGCGCAGGGCAGGGGGCCACTGGGCTTCATGAAGCCCTTTGCCAGAATTCTAACTGAAGGCAAGAACGTCACACGTGACAGGGCGGTCAGGGTGAACAGCCACAAGTGCGGATTTGTTACAGAGTGGCTCTGGTGACATCAGAAACCATCTTAGTGGACACTGGTGGCACTGAGCCGAAACGTGACGGTCCCTGTCCATCATCGGGGCAGTCACAAAATGGAGGCTGAAGGTTTCATCCAGAACCTGTCTTGGGGCGCCCTCCTACAGCTGTGGGCGACGCTCATTGCTCTTCCAGTCTGAGCCTCTCCCCATGCTTTACATAAACGGGACAGGTGTGGGCAGGCCCTGCCTTCCACCATCAGCTTCGCCCACTGGCTGGGGAAGGAAAAGGGAAGAAGGCATCACAGCCTCGATCTTGAAAAACCTCTTTTGTTTTTTCCACACTTTGGTGTACCTGGAAGATTTCAACGCTGATAAAGGACAGTAGCCACCAACTCGCCGGAGAAGCCGAACGTGCAAAGGCATTTCCATACCCAGTCACAGTATGGCGACGGGAGAGGACGCGGGGGCAATCCCCCCATCCCAGCCTCTCCCCAGAAGACTTAAGGACTCCTGAAATCCTGGGCAGAGATTTATTTTCCACCCACGAATTATGTTTTGGGGGGGGCCTCACCCTTAGCAGTAAATACCAAATGCCCTGAGTTCTGTACAGGCGAGACTCGACACCTTCCAAGGGGCCATGCATGTGTGCGATGTCACAGAAAGGTGCTGTGTGTCTGGGGGCCAGGGCAGAGAGTCTTCCAGAACACAGAAGCAACTGGGCCAGAACACCCCCCCACCAGAAGCCAAGACAGGCTTCACGCATTTGGTGTTCCAGGGGGGTCCTCTCATTCTCGTCTCCTATTTTGTCTGCGTGCGTGGTGGTGAGGTGTCCAGTGGGTAGGGGAAGGACAGAAAGAAACAAAGAATTTTGAAGTTCAGCCTCTCCTCGCTTTGAAAAACCCATCAAGGAGAGGTGAGGCGATTTTCTTTCTCCAGGGTATCTGGGTAATTTCCTTCTCCAGGGATGTCTGGGTGATGCTGCTGCCCACACTGGAGCCCCTGAGAATCTTTCCCACCCGGAAAACGGCAGGGAGGGCTCCCACGGCCCTGGGCGCCCTGTTTCTCACCATGGGAGCCCTGGGGCCACAGCGACACCCCAGCCTTACCCCCTGCTCCCCACTCAGCTGGCATAGAAAGCCCCAGCTTCTTTGGAGGCACTGTCTCCTGTCCTAGCTTATTAGTAACGTCTGTGGGGAACAGAACTCTGTACCTCAGACACCCTCTCAGGAGGGCTGGCCAGAAGCCACAGATTCCTCCTCAAACCCTTTTCTGGAGCAAGCCAAAATAAATAAGTAATAAATAAGTAGATGATAAATAAAAAACCTTTTCTGACACAAGCTAATAACACAAATGAAGTGCCACATCCCACAAGGTCATAGATCTTCCAATTAAAGAGTGTTTCTGTACCCTTCACCTCAGCTTCAGCCACTCTAATTAATGGATTTATGGCACACAGCTGTTCTGGTTCCTCATGTTTTTAAGTCGGATGGTCAGACCACCTCCCTTCCCCCAATCTCTTTTTTTCATCCTCTTCATTTCCTTGGGTATCTCCAGAGCACTTCTAGTCCCTTGTTCTGCCGACCGTACATTTTCTAGAAAGTTCTGTGGCCAGTGAGGAATGCAGATATCAGAAGAAAATGCAAGAACTCCCAGGCAGGCCAGGAGTGAAGACTGCTCTGCAGCTGAAATGGCCGATTAAAACATTTTTTTTTTTTTTAATCTCAAAATGGCAGCTGCCAGGAAGCGTGTAGCTACCTGTTCTAAAGAGCTCAGGTGTTGCCACTTCTTGTTTTAGAAAAAAAGGAAAAAAAGACACTTCTAAAACTCTAACTTGGACCAGCCTGGGGAGGAAGTTGCCTGTCCGTAATTCACCCTCAGGTGGGGAAGGGCTATGTGTATCCATCAAGTCAGATTTCAGGGCCACTGGTCAGGCCAGGGGAAGGCCTTTCTTTTTGTTTCCCAGACTTCCCTCTGCGCGCAGGCAGGATTCATTGCGGGCGACGGTCTTCCCGGGATCTGACAGCTTCTGATTTTTAAAAAATCTCTCAGCCCCCAAAGGCCCTCCCTAGACAACTCTCTTTTCACTCTCCACACCCATCTTTAAAAAAAAAAAACAAAAGTTCATTTCCATATTACCACTTCACGGTTATCTGTTGCTTAAAAGTAGCCTTGAGCACTTGGGGCTGCTCACTTTCAAGAACCGAACAATGTCAGAAAGTCTTTGAAGAGCCACTCGGAACATTTTTCTATTCAAAAATTCACTAAATATTTTAAACTCGCCCCTTGCGCAGTCACCGAAGGCTCGTTTTTAAATGCGTTGGAAGACCTCGGCGAGTGAGCTGCTTCCAACTCAGGGCTGGCTCTCTCCCCTTCCTGGGACCAGAGGTTTCCTCCCCGTCACCTTCTCCTGGAGCTCAGGGCCACCTGCCCAGACGTGAGCTGGAGGCCTGCGAGGGGACAGCTTTGCCAGTGGCCCGCAGAGGATCCACTTCCCGCCACACCACTACTGCGGCTGCTAAGGTTCTGACGGATACATTGATGCCTAGATTATTTTGAAGCCGCTGACCCAGCAACCTCAAACCTGGCCTACAGACCTAGAAATGTCAGGTGCACTTCGATCGCAAAATCAGGCTTGCGACTCAGAACGTGGGCCCGTGTCTTTCCTTGCTTGCTTCCTTTCTCAGACGCTTAGTATCAGCTGGCAGAAACCCACACTGGATCTCCTTTGCCTACTGGCTCCAAAGGGAGCCTCTCATGTTTTTCTCAAATGCAGAAGATTCCCTGTGATCCTTGGGTTACAAGATCCCAGGATGGTGGGGCGGGTTCACAACTCTGCTTTGACATTCCCAGCAAAGTGAAGTGGATCAAGTCACTTAACCTCTCCGAGCCCCGATTTCCTCATCAGCAGAATGGGAATAATATTCCTGCCACCCAGGAGGGCTGGGGGGACCACATGAGATCCTGCATGTGGACACACAGGATAAAAGCACATGTCACTATGCAGACGTTGCCGATGGGCTTTATATGACTCGGTTTTTTATTATCCATCCGTGTATCTGGCTGTGGATGTTTCAAGGATGCCTTTCTGTGTGACTCTGGCAGTAATAAAACCCTGGAGGAATTTTAATACAGCCTGCCTAATGCTCTAGAGGTTCCAGGGAAGTAGAAACTTGCAAACGTTGAGAAAACATCATTTTTTATTGTGACGCTTGGGAACCAACATGCTACTGGACTCCTGCAATGAAATGTTGCTCGCCTTCTGCTATTAGATGGTGTTTTTGGGGTTTTTTTTTTAATGAGCACTTAAATAATTGGTCCTCCTTATTATGCCGGTTACTCTAATAATACCAATAAAGGTATCAGTGATGTTTAATAAAAAATGCACCTTTAATTGAGTTATTATTCAATGAAAAGGCCATAATTGAGAGCGCTAGTTTAACAGGTCTCCTCCTAAAGCTGCGTGATACCAAATGGAAGGGCATTCCTGCCGGGAGAGAGCTAGCGGTTCATTGCTGCTCAGAAGGGAGCAGCAAGGAGACCCCACCTCCCCGCTCAACAGGACCTAGGGTGATATTCTCCCCGGGCTGTTCTCTAAAACCTAGAGGCCAAAATGAGAGTCCTCACACTTGGAAGCTAAAGTAAGAACCGGGTGTTGGCTTCACATGGCACTCTACAGTTTGCAGAGCACTTTACAGTTGGCTTGGCATTTTCATATGCATTAGTGGGTTTCATTGTTACTCACACGGCCTCTGAGGGAGGCCAGGTAAGGACCACATCCCTGCCAGCATGTGATGAAGCTGGAGCTCATGAAGCCAAATCCCACAGCCACGCGCGGAAGGCGACCCCCAGGCTCCCAGCTGACCCCCCGGCACACAG